AGTTGTAGGATACCATAAACGAGAGATTCAGTTGAGTCTCTTATGAAAACCAAACTGATTTGCAACTGAGTGTATTTCTTGAGAACAGTCCAATTCGGGTTCAGGTAGAACATAAGGTTGACGGAAACTCGGGGACTGCGCCTACCTGATGAGCCCCAAGAAGGGCGAAACCGGTTGTGGGTTGTCAAAGAGTTTTCAGTAACCTTGTGAATAGTTCCCTTTAGGACTGATAGAAATTTAAGCGCTACACAGGGCCGATGAGACCTGAAAGGATGCAGCCGCTTTCTTCGTTATATCTCCATATTTCCGTCTTTTTGTCACGGTCACCGGTAACATGAATTGGGTTCCATTCGCGAAGGAGATCATGTAAATTAATGCATGTTGTAGAAGGAGCAGCTATATCAGCGCGGCCGCGCTGCTGTGTTGTTCAGTGTTCCACTGTCTCCTCGGCCAGTCGTCATAGTTGGGCACTGGTAAACTAGACTTGTAACGATTCGTGCACTCCACTGGTTGACCGTGTCCGTTGGCCTGGCTGCACACTGATGGAGTAGATGGACGAAGTGTTTATCTGACGGCATTAGAGGGAAAGCCATATGCAAAAGTCACAATCAGTTTTGCATGATTGTGTCCTTGCACACGAATAGTGTTTATGTAAATCGATAAGAATCGGGATAGGCTTCAGCCACCACCTCTGATCCATGAAAAAATTGACATCGGTTTAGACGTAATAAACTACTCATAAGGTTGCTGAAAACCCTTCGACCGGTTTCACCGTTTTTGAGGTTCATCAGCTAGGCACAGTCACCGAGTTTTCATCAACGTTACGTTCTAATTGAAACTAAATTGCACGAAATTGGCGAAATAAGCTCATTTTCAAACGAGTTTGGTTTTTCGGGACACTCACCTGAAACCCAGCTGAAACTCTCGTTTATGGCATTTCTAAGCAACCGAATGTGCTGCACCAGGCCGCTTCATGCTTCAGTTGGTGCGATATTCGAGATATCACGATACATGTATAGATGCAATACACTACTCATAAGGTTGCTGAAAATTCCTCGATAGCCCTATGACAAACACCAGATTTAAATGCCACGTGTATATGAGAAGAGGGTAGAAGTTATCCACCATTCGTGTAGCAAAGGTCATATTTACGTGTCACTTGGTTAGCAGCATATAGAATATAGTTGGTATTGGAATCCAAACTTCGACACATCCTCTCCGATTTTTGGCTTCAATGTACAAGATCAGGAGGTCGGGCAGTTTCGATGAGATGAATGCGGCTACAAAAAACAAACGGGGTGTATCAGACCCGAAGGATGACGAAAAGGATAAGCATCTGGATCTGCGTAATGGGACGAAGCCTGAGGCAACCGAAAGCAGCTGCTGCAATGGGACTGCACCGAGAAGGACCTCAGTCCAACCACAAATCTGTTGGAAAGTCTTTGTAGAAATTCTTTCAATAAACCAAAAGACAACCTTCCTTCGAGCATACTGTAAAACGTCATAGTCAATAAAATAGCTGGCACGACTTTGAGTGATACATCTTATCTGGATGGATGTAACAAGACCTCCTGATCGGGTAGTGTGGTACGCCCATACAGGGCATTTCGATACCTCGAATATCATCTTAACTGAAATATGAGGCGGCCTGGTGTGGCAGATTCAGAACATCGCAAACGAAAGATTCAGCTGGGATTCCGGTGAGTCTCCCGTGGAGTCCCGTGGAAGCCAACCTGGTATGCGACTGACTGTATCTGTCGAAAAACCGACGGATTCTTCACTGGGCTTCGTCAAAATCCGGTACATTTAGAGTAGCCCTCAAGATTCTCTCACATCTCCATAAAATAGAAAGCGGATGTTAGTAAGTTGACCACAGCGGGAACGATTTCAGCTGCTACCAATGGGATAGCAACCAAAATATGGAAACTTAGTCCGAAACTCTGCAATCAAGAGATACTTGTGAGACTCTTCATCCACCTAACGGTGGTGTAACCCTTTAGCACTTTTATTAAAAATATAGCTTAAACTCGTACCATCCTGCCAATCATCTAAGTGTTTTGTTGTCTTAATTCTCCTCATGATTCGGTTACCCACTTTGCATCAAGCAGTAGCGAATTCTGCCAGTAGACTCCTGCCACAGTGTACTACACACAGTTTTGCCGCTGTCCAACCTGCGATCGCCCTTGGTAATGCTGTCTTTCATACCAGCTTGAATAAAACTCTTTACCACTCCACAAAAACCAACTTTACTCTTCGGCAGTTGATGTGCTCAGTAAGCACTAGTGTGGCAAAATGCCCAGATTCCTTTCCACTTAGTACTTTAAAAATACCTGCTATGTTTTGACAAGACTATCAGACAAATGGTAGGTAGAGGCTTATCTACCACAATCTCCCAGCATAAGTTTGAGTGTGTTAACTGAATGTCGAATCCGAGGAACAGTTCTGCGACAATCCGTAACCTGTAGTCTTCTTGAGTAGGAAGAGCGAATAATTAGCCAGTGACTCATTAGTGAAAGGAAGAAGGCATTTGCCAACTGAACAGTCACAGACTATTGGACAAGGAAGCGAAACTCTCATATACACCTTGTTAACAAGAACTGAATGTCCATCTTCTCTTTGAACGCGTCTTTCTGAACTTTCCTGGATATTCATTGACTGTTTCTCAAATCCAAGCAAATGCTACGAAGCGACTCCACAATTTCCGCAATAGATCTCACTTTTCAAGAGACGCAACGCGAATTTACAGGAAGAAAATATACTACTCGCATACTTCCCCATCAGTAGTATCACCGTGACACTAGTAGCAAACGAAAGAGCTTTGCCATGATGAGTGCACAAGGCAACCAATAAAGCAGTGTAACCGATTACCATTCCAATGGGATGTGGAAGTTGGATAATTTGACGCTAAGTTCAGAATCATCGCGAGAACGTTTCTGTTCCCCCTCTGGAAGGACCAGTCCTAGGAATGAACCGATTTTGGTTGGTATTCTGAGGCTCCTATTAAATTTCAAAAATGTGAGAAGACCACCTTTCAGACAAATTCCTATGCATTTTGAAGCAGATCCGACCAAGGTCTCTGTCGCAAGACATGGAAAGTTCCCCAAACCATACAGACAGCCGGTTTCGTGAAATCTTTGATTCAAGTTAAACCCGAAAACTTGGCCTACCTAATGGATCACAAGAGGACCAAACCAATCGGAAGTTGTCGGAGAGTTTCCGGAAACCTCATGAGTGGTGAATGGTGCCTGTGCAGTTTACTGCGATATCTCGAATATTGTATCAACTGAAATATGACACGGCCTTTGTGCAACACATTCAGTTGGAGAAATTCGGCTCCCTTCAGGTGGTCCTCCCCCTGAAGACCAAAATGGTATGCAAACGAATGTATTTGACATAGTAACTTTCATTGTGTACCCTTGTCGGCTACATTCTTCTATTTAAAATGACGTGCGCTTTGTAGTGACGAAATTTAGACAGGGTCAGACGCAGATCGATCGATCATCTGCTGTTTCTCAATGCCTTCACAAGGATCGGTGTAAAATCTGTTTAGGTTCATGTGACCAACTCAAAGGAATGATGGCTGTTTTGGAACTCGTGATGAGTGATAAAAAAACTGGCCCACACTGCACAACAGTGAAGAACGATGTGAACGTTGTCTAGCAGAACACTACAGCCCCTCTTGGCGTTATAGTAACTGGATGACGGAATCACATGAGAACCGAGATCATTTATCGCCGGCAACTTGTGCACCAAGTTATGTGGCTACTGAGTCATACAAATAGTTCTTGCTAAATAACCGAATAAATCAAGTGTTTAAATCCCTATAGAGAGCCAGCTCCATGTGCCGGAATATAATTAGTGGCTTCCAAACACATAAGGCAAAGTCGCCTTGATTACCTATTTGCGGCCCCGTGTGTATGAATGTTGACCCGGCAAGCCTATTCATAACTCAGGGGACGAGACACTGAAAATTTGGGACCTTGCTTTAGCCAGGAGCTGTTTATGTCAAAACAACTAGACTACTGTCGAATGATGAGGGTTTTGATGATTCTCACGTAGAATTCGATGAACACCAAGCTACAGATGATGATGATGATGGTGCGATTAAACTCCTGGGAGCTTGGGTACACTGGAACTTTTGTCCTTAACGATTCACTCAGCGCCAGCATGATAAGTTCCAGTTGGGAAGAAAGGCTCTGCACAGCAAATTTGCTGGATCCAATTAGAATTCCTGCAATGGATTCATTGATTATTTATGAAAAATCGTAGGTGGGCGTTCCGTGAAATTTGTTTTCAATTGAAAAGGTGACCCCTCTGAGTTAATTGGAAAATTCGAACAATAAATCGAAGACAGATGAGATCAGTCAACTGAAGTTGGTGACGTAATGGCTAGTGAGGCGTCGCTGACTGAGGCATTCGAATGCGAGGGAAAACTGCCCTTGACTGCTCGATATTTACAAATGTATAGATGAGACATAATAAACGCTATTTTGGAAGAATGGCAAGTTGCTAGCAGTAACAAAGGCATTTCTCTAAACTTCTCTGAAGCGTTTTTGATGTCAGATGTTGTGTCAACGAATTTGTAACGAGGTAATTAGAAAACGGGAATTTGGTTGTGCAGCAGATATTTCAATCGCAGAAAAAACCTGACACCGTCAGCTGTGGTAGCTTGACTATGTGCCGGAACATTGTCTACCGAGACCAATGTTGTTCTGCGTACCTCCTTCAGAATGGTGTAAACTGCTTCGTAGATAATGTTCGATTCAGCAAAAGGGTTTGTGTTGTCGGTGGGCCTGCCTACCAAGATGAGGTCCTAACGACCCTCCGTGCACTTAGCTGGAGACATTGCAGGAAATGGCGACTATTCGACATCAGCGACGTTTGTGCTGCCACTTTATTTCCAGACTTTCTCATTGAGTAATTGGAGGTGTAGGCACGTCAAAATGTTTGCGGCACGACAACACCTGGTCCACTCACTCACCCACCCTTTTCTCCTCTTTTCACTCCAAGACTTTAACCATAATTAAATGAACTTTTTGATTGTACAGAAGTAAACCGTCATCGTCAACACTAATGTCACTCTCTCTGACGACGATGATTTCCAGATAAAAATTTGTTTGACTTTTTCCCTTCAGCAATCTGCCCCAGAGTTGTCTTTTTGAGGGGGACAACGATAAACAGTAAACGGTTTCCTACCTTGTTTCATGACAGAAATCTGTCGTAGTTGTGTTACACGTCTCACGGGTCGTTTCTGAGAGGCGATTTGGCCAAGAGAAGCAGTTTACCCAAAACGATGGAAAAACTACCCCTCAATGTGTCGAATGTCCCAAGGAACAGCTTCAACGGTGGTTTACTAGTCGATCACCTGATTAATTTGCTATCACGTGATTGTTCTTACATTTATATCTAGAGGCTTCTACTTCTAGCGAAAGACAAACCAGTTGCAGACTGGAAAGGCTTACCATGGGTGAACAAGTATTTATGCTCACAAGGCTTCGTCCGTCTGAACAGCAAGTGATCATAACATCGGCGAAAAAAGCAATCACAAACGAATATGAGTTGGTAGTATTTCGAATTTTGATGTCAAAGCAAAAAACCCGACGTCATTCAGTAATCATCTTGAGAGTTTGAAAAATTGGTTATCAGCTAGTGGCAGACAGATCAGTTGTTTCGCTTACCATGTAGTGGGTTTTACGTCTTTATTTCTGGGAAAAGGTCTTTAGGCGAATTTCGGTGTGAAGGCCTCGTCGAAGATCGAACACGAGCGACCGGTTTTGTCCAGTCGTTCGCTTGTGTTACGGTTGTCAGTACTCTGCACTCTGTGTGTGTGTGTACTAAATGAAGTCAAACATCACAGCGCTGTTGGGGCGAATTTTCTGTCACAGTGGTTATATATTGCAGAAGTCTGCAAAATTCAGGCATTCAGTTACCAGTCAGTTTTGAATGTGCATAAACTCTGGAGGTTTGATCTTCTTTGATTACCTGTGGTACATCCACAGCTTACGCCAGTCTGTGTAGTTGCATCTGAATGGACTGACCAACTGTATCGTGAGACTTCGAATGCCCAACCAGTTTAATGCGCGGAATTCTCCACTTCAGGACCCAGTTCCTAAGGTTACTGGTCTGCTGGATGGCGCGTTTTCTCATAAGGGTGTTGGGACTCGAAGCTCTAGCGGTATCTAATATTTTAAAGCCACTTTCGTCCGTCTACGATAGAGTATTTCCTTTAATTTTGGGGGCGTGGATCCAATTTTCATCGCTTTTGCAAATCTCCCCTAAAAAATAGTCGTTCAGTAGTAGCACCCTTTTGGTATACAGCTGCCGTGCCACCCGAGGGCTGGGATACTGCCAGGTTGCCCAAGCCAAGACAGGAGAAGTCTAGATGCAGAGGTCGGATTCGAACCACGGACCTTCTGGTCAGTAACTTCGCGCTCTAACCACTGAACCATCACGCCACTCATCTCCCATATCTCAGACTGAATAAGAACAAAAAACAAGGATGTAATAGTGAATACCCGAAATGGGGTAAGCTAATTTTTTTGCCAAGTCAGATGTAGTTCATTCGTGAAGGCGCGTTAGCAGTATTAGCTATGGCAAGGCGACAGATACTGCTAAAGTCATTGTTACTATTCTACCCACCTGGGTTGGCTACTAAAAACCTGATGCTTATTGTGCTAACGTCGACTCATCCATCAGGAGCTCCTTAGTAAATCATCGTTCACCCACAGTTTATCACACTGGTGTCTTGTCCTACTGGAAGATTGTATTACTGGGAGTGGACGTATAAACCACCTACCTTATTCCTCTGTATTTCTTTTTGGTACAAAATTTGTGAATTAAGTAATCCCACTATCCTGAGGTAATTGCCGTGAGTCGGGACAACTGTGTCAACCTACTTGTTTAGGGATGTGGCAGCTGAGAAGCCAAATTTTCCAGGTTGCCCACATTTCGGGAGCTTCACATTCCCAATGAAGCAGGTGAAGTTTCGTGAACTCAAAGATCGCGCTTTTCCCATACACAGCTAAAGAAACTATACTCAGAAGTTGGCTGGAGAAGTCCAGGTGAAAAATGATGAAAAGTGTGAGAACTGGTGAAACTTGGAGCCTAATTAACAACAATACATATATATTTTTATATAATCTCATCACTTTATCAGGAAATTTCCTAATTTTGCGTTTGCCTTTAGACTTATGCCCGATTCGATGGGTCAGCAGTCTTTGATTGCTTTCATCTATTATTTTTGCGGTCACTGGGCTCGACGTCCTGTAAGCGAATGAGTAAAATGCATGCATGAACCGAGTGATCAAATTCACTTTTAAGTTCGAAGATGAGTGACAGCACAGACCTGAGCATCTCTGGCAGGCCGGCTGCTAGCCTGAAAGATGGGTTCCCTTCATAAGTTACAAAAAGTTTGTTCTGTCCGTTGGTTGCATAGACTACTCACTAAAGCAATCTACAATCCATTACAATAAAAGGATATCAGTGAGCTGAAGTCTGAAATCAAACACATGTTCGGTATTGTCGTCACTTTGGGCATAAATCTACCGAGTTTCATCCTTTCGAATATTAGGGTCATCACCAATCTCATCGTCATCGCGATCGGCAGCACAACATCGGTTTTCTCCCCTTATGCTTTACTCCCCTACAAACGTAATTCATTTGAAGAAAAGAGTAAAAGTGGATGGATAAGGGATTTGGTGCTCTCTTAATACAATCATTCCGGGGTACCTGCAATTCAACACACTCGTTCAGATGGTGGATGGAAATTGGCAGCAACCACGCCAATGATGCCGGTTAGTGACTATATTTTGCAACCGTGCACAGGGAGGATGACGCGAACCTCATTCTGGAGGACAAGTCGCACCCACAGCTCGCAGATTTTTCGTGACCACTTTCGAACCCCTCTACTAGGTCAAAATTTGGCCACCTCTCTGCTTGCGTCACTCTGAATTGGGCACGGAAAACAGCACTCACTTCGACAAACGATGATTTAGCCACAGCGGCTTTTGATGCTGGACGCATTCTTCGATCGAAGACCCCGTTTCACGACCGATCACTCGTTTTCCAATTGCCTCGTTGCGGATCGGCCGGTACCGTTCTACATGAACTATGGTTCTGCGACAACAAGCGTTGAAGGCCTGGAGAGGCCACAGTTTTGCTGCTCTAAGAGGCCACGCCTCAGTCATACAACAAAACGATCCCTAGTACAGCCTGACACACACGTTACTTGAGTACAAGAATGCCAACGAAAGTGAAGAAAACTAAGGTACAATTAATATGAGGCTACTTATATCAAAATAAAAGGAAACCCTTTTGACCATCTTCTTGACGGAAGCTCGAGCCAACCTTTGTGCCGCACACTATGTGGGTGAATATCAGGATAGACTCTATCAGGTCTCTGTTTCCAGCGATAATGTCATTTATGTGCGTATGAAGACATTCATTTGTCTCTCGTTTATTGCACGTTGACAACATCTGGATTTTAATTTAAGTGATGAACGCTTCTGGCATGTTGATAATGGTTGAACTGTTACTACTAAGATATTCTGGATCCCTTAGTGCACTCAGTGATTCAGAAGGTGTCCTTTTCTAATAACCATCCAGTAGTCTTTTCTCACAAGGTTGCTGAAAACTCTTCGACAGCCCACGGCCGGTTTCGTCCTTATTGGGGATCATCAGGTAGGCGCAGTCCGCAAGTTTCCGTTGACCTTATGTTCCACTTGAACCCAAGTTAGATAGATCTCGGTAAGTACACTTATTCGCATATCAGTTGGGTTTTCACCAGAGACTCAAATGAATCTCTCGTTTACGATATTCTTTTTCCGAATGTGCTGCACAAGGGCCGCCTCATGTTTTAGTTGGTTCGATATTCGAGATATCGCGGTTTATTTTCATAAGAACATCATACACCAGAGATTTGGCTGGTTGCCAGGTGAGTACCCCGTCAAAACTAAGTTGGTAAGCAGATGAGTGTGTAAGTCAAATTCCGTGCAAGTTAGGTTCAAGTGGAACAGAAGATTGACGGAAATTCAGGGACTGCGCCTACATGGTGAGCCCCAAGAAGGGTCAAACCGGTTGTCGAAGAGTTTTCAGCAACCTTGTGAGAAAAGACTACTGGATGGTTATTTGGACTGGTACATACGTTAGGAAATCGGAAAACACAATAATTCCTCTCGCTGTCTGAGTAGGAGGGGCGGGGGTAGCAGCCAAAAATGGGAACGCAGAGTTTCACGCCAAGGCTGAATTCTGTTCCGTCTTATGAGGGCGCTGGACTGGTCAACACACATTGGTGATCTCCAACCGACTGAGAACATAGGGTGGCGAGCGCATAAAGCTGCAAGCATCCATGATCCCAAACTTAGTTTATGGCCGTCCCGAACACTTAGTAAACGCATTGCTAAATGATTCAGGTAGGCTTAACGCCGCAAGCTTCAGAAAGCATAATGAAACTATCTCTCTCCCTTGTCACAAGATGGTAGTATGTGGTGGTCCTATAACGTTATGGGGACCGTTTTCCACTTTTTCGTGTATGGATACCATCTAACCAGAAAGTACTATTCTTATGAGATCCCAGGTGGAGTTGATTTTCTACTGAAGAAATACAATTTACCTCCAATCATGGAGTAGTGAAGGAAGATATGAATGATCCTGTAATTCTGTCACGGATCGTACAAAGTCCTTTGGAGACGGAACACTCTACTCATAAGGTTACCGAAAACGTTTCAAAGAGTTTTCAAAAGCCTCATGAGTAGTGTGTTACGTCTGGATAATCTGTTGTGATATCTCAAATAAGACATGAAGCGTCGTTGTGTGCAGCACATTTGCTGGATGATGGGCATGTTAAACGAGAGATTCAGCTGGATTCAGTTGCATCTGCTGTCAAAATTAAGGGTTTCGGTCGATCATCTTCATATTTGATGAAGTGTACAGGAATGAAAACAGTTTTGGCAAACAGTTTAAATCAACTTGAACGGATCACATATTTTCACTCCGTATAACTGTTTACCATTTTTCGAATTCAGGTGTCAAGCTTGTACGCAGTTCAGAGAAAACTATTTCGCAGCCAACTTGGTCAACTGCAGTTCATTTCTAGACTTTTATAGCAATTTTTCACTCGGTTAGTCCGGTGCTGCTTTTCCGTACTTTGTTCGAAGTTGTTCATTTTGCAGTAAGGTGAGAGAATACCTTTTTCTAGATGCCAGAACGGGCAAGCAACTAGATACCATCTGTGTGACGTTGGGCATCGTGCACCGTATGGGTAGACTGATGATGACCTTGGTACAGCTGGGATACTGTCTGCAGGTGATTTGTGTAACAGGTGGCCGGAGTTGGAAAGCTCACAACATTCCAGGTCTTAACGATGATAAAACAAACGAAAACTGCGACCAAATGTAGCCCGAAAATTCTTCGTCGGGTCCGGAACAATGCTGAAAAACCGGGGTTGGTGCTGGTCGGACCAACAGGCTCGTCTGCCTGGGCAGCTGTTGAGGCAAGACAGCATATTGCTTCTTTAAGTCACATGCTAAAGCTTATTCACCTGGTTTTACGTTTATACGAGATTTATTGTGCTATCATGCACTGTCAGAGTATCGCTTTTTATGGATTTCGATCATCCCGAGAAAACAGGTTGCCTGCGCTTCTACCTTTTCATACATCTTTATAGTTTTGACGGGCTAGATCAGTCATGTGATAATCTGTCCAATATCATATACGTAGTCCTTTTGTTAAATGCACCTTTCAGCACGACTGAAGATAATCGAAAGTTTGCTCCATAAGTGCTTTGAAGTATGCATCGCGGAGGACACAAAAGCTATCTGATTTTTAAATTCTTTGTTGTCCTGACTTAAAACTTCCCTCATAAGGCTGCAGAAAATGGCTTGATGGACCACAAACGGTTTCACCCTTTCTGAGACTCATCAGGTAAGCGGGATCCCGAGTTTCTGTCAACCCTATGCCCCGCTTGAACCCAAATTAGACGGAATCAGCCAAGTGCGGCCGCTTGCAGACTTATTTTTGACGGGAGACTACACGGAATCCCACCTGATACACTGGTTCAAATAAACGTATTGCGCAAAGTCCACCTCATGTTTCATTTGCTACGAGAGTCGAGGTATTACAATGAACCGTCTAGATGCAACATGCTACTCAGAAGTTTGTCGGAAACACTTTGACAGTTCATGAGGGCATTTGGTGAATTCCGTCCGATTCAGGTTCAAGTAGAACGTGGGGTTGACGGAAGCTCGGGGACCGTGCCTACCGGGTTTGCTCGAAAGAGAATGACGAAACTGATTCTTGGGCTGTTGAAAACAGATGGTTTAAAACCTTGTAGTCAGTTATCGAACTGAACTGCTCCATGTTAAGGCTTGCTTCAGAAAGATATCCATGATAATCTTGAGATGACCCGACAGGAATCTCGAAGAAACGGGGAGATAAAGGGGGTCGTGGGAGATGCGGAGCTTCTCGGTTTTCTTTCTAAGGGCTGATTAGTATTCAAGGAGAATTCTGGGGCTACTTTCGAGAAAGGGGCAAAATAACACGGTATGATAGCCTGAAAAAGAAGGACGTCAAGCCTGTCAAAATCACTGATACACGGAATGCTTGTCTTGGTCAACGGTTGTCTTACAAGACAGCTGCCAACTTGGGTAGACAGAATGACTACCAGTAAACGGACCAACACTACCAATATTTCGATACTTTGCCAAGTGCAAACACTGCCTTCAAACGCTTGGGCAGGAAAAACACTTTGTGGAAAAAAAACCTCGGAGAAACGAGCATTTTGCATAGTTCTTATTTCAAGCATTGTAGACAGGATGTTTCATCCTCGTAAGTAACGTTCACCTAAAAAAATATTTTTAACATAACATATTTTGAGGGTCATTTTCCCGCAGTATGAATCGTCGGTGCTACCGAAATCCCCCATTAAAGGTAGTGTGAACCCCTATTCACTATTGGACAACACTCAGATGGATGCAGAACATTCACTTTCCTAGTGGTCATGCGTTTCGTGGGCGATTTTCACTCGATTGATATCACTGATTAGATTGAGGCGGATTGAGTACCTCCCATCGGAAACACTCCAAAACATGCTGTGTTCTGCAGAAATACACTCATTTGCAAGTCAATTTGGTTTTTCACGAGAGACTAACTGAATTCTCTCTTTTATGATGTTCTACAACTGAATGTGCTGCAAACGGGCCGCCTCATGTTTCAGTCGGCACGATATTCGAATTATCGCAGTATAGTTTCATAAAGGAAACTACTCACAAGGTTGCTAAAAATCCGTCGACAGCGCACGACCGGTTTTGCCCTTCTTGGGGCTCATCAGGTAGGCGCAGTCCCCGAGTTTTCGCCAACCTTATGATCTACTTGAACCCAAATTACACTGTTGTCGTGGGCTGTCGAAGAGTTTTAAGCAACCTTGTGAGTAGTTCCCTTTATGAAAATATGCTGTGTGTTGTTCAGTTAGTGGCTGAACGCAGTACATATCAATTAGTATTAAACTTGGACCAAGACAGCAATGTGATTTTCCTCCGAAGACCACTGCAAGAAACCGTTCTTCTTGTCCGGAAGATAAGGTGCTACAGGACAGTGATGAGAAATTCAATAAACGAAGGGATAAATTCCCAAAACGCTATTGTTTCATGCTGATATGGTAAAGCCGTAAGCATGGGAATTTCCCCATAATCTCATAATAAATCGGGATTAGCTTTTGCCATCTCGTCACGGCGCCATCCAGAGATGACGCAATAGATGTAGAAAAGAAGGCTTCCAAAACTTGTGAAGATTTATCAATCTTACTTGATATTCTCTACTCTCATTTCACTTGGGATCCGATAGAATTTTTGGTAAAATTTATCGTGTAAGCGAAGCTGAAGGAAAGGTGATGTATTTGTCAAACATTGAGTGTATTTTAGATGAGAATTTAGCAGAATGCAAGCCATAAATCAAGTGTATACAACTTTGGTAGCATCTGGGTTCGCCAACAACACACCTGGAACAAGTTGCCCTGTAGCACACATTTGAGCTAGAATTGCATTTGGAAGCCTTCTCCTGAAAACTGATAGAACTGAAGCATTTTTAGGGTGTAGTCATTAATACAGAGTACCAAACTATGATCGGTCTGTATATTTCCGCACAAAGACCGCGATATTTTTTCGACAGGTCTGTAAAGTTTAAACCAGGAGCAGTCGAGAAATCAGTAGTAATCAAACTAGCATAACTTCCGGTCAGTCGCTTCTTGGGTAAGCCACTGTGCCCTCGAAACCAGTATTGATTGTTTAGTGAGTCTATGCTAGGCCGAGTTCGTTTAGTATTCTGGCACTGCCTTCTCACCAGTCCTTGTGAGCATTGATTCAATTAAGGAATACGAGTGGTCACCCACAACTTCACTGTTACCAGGATGGCACAAAGGAGTCCAGTGAAGATACACAACTCGCGGACTGACGTACTCATCCCATCTTGTAGACTGCAACCCATCATTGACTGATATGATTCGATCGGGAATTGTGGGCTTTCCAGAAAATTTGTACAACTGTGTAGTTCGACGGCTGGTGCCAACAGGCTGTTTAGAGCCTCTGATCTGAATAGATAACCTTAGCCTAAAAACAACTCTGGTATCAGCGGTTCAGCTTGTGGAGCTACAGTGTCTACAGACAGTGCACAGGGTTAATCGATAATGGCTGCACTCAAACTTATTTGCTACAGGTCAGAGTCCTCAAGAATGAACAAAACGACGTATGCGCTATGGATTTATGTGACAATAATCAAACGAACAAAATGAAATGCTATGATAGTTTCCACAGCTGTGCGACGATTCCAGAGTTGATTCATTCCAAGTGTCGATTTTGGTAGAACGTGGGGATGCAGTTGTTCTACTGTTAACTACGCGACAGTTCCTTTGGGTCCCCGACTTTTAGATTGTGATCCTCAATGAACGGGTGACAAAAGAAGAATTTTATTTTTGAAATAATAGAACCAGCACGCACCTACCTTGAAGAAGAAACGATCGACAGCATAAAACCGCTTACTGAAGGGGAACATGTCCGATTTCACTTTGCCTACTTAATAAGTGCTGTTCACGAGAGCTTTTCAGGACCCCAATACCTCTTCCCGTTGAATTCGATCATTGTTGCTCATTAGTGCCCACAGCCCTTGTCGCTAGCTACTGTCTTCAGGGAAGCCTGCTGGCTTCACAATCTGACATGAAATGATGCCTCATCTTTAAATGTTCCACACTGCTCATGAAGTTGCTGAAACGAGAGATTCATCTAGGTCCAGTTGAGTCAACCGTTAAAACCAAACTAGCATGTGAATGAGAGAATTTGGTGTGTTAACTAGTTAACTCGCGACCACACAAAAGCGGTTTTTGGATGCGCAGACGGCCCACGTCCGTGAATACAATTTGCGACCATACGTGACGAGAACACATAGCAATAACTTTCATTTCTAGTTAGTGCCACGAGTAACAGAGTAATAGTGCCATACCTAGGGTCATTATTAAATACTTGTTTTACCAGGTACCAGCACGAATCCGTAACGAGCCAATTAGAAAGCGAGTTCTCAGTTTTGCAAAGGGGACTTTCATTGAAGAGTGTGTCCAGCACCAGAAGCTGCGTTGGTTAGGCGCTTGTCGAACCATCGTTTATCTAAGAGAGTGCTGTTTTCCGTACCCATTTCACAGTGGCGGAAGGAGAGAGGTGGCCAACCCTAGACCTGACAGAGGGATATGAAAGAGATTACAAAAGGTTTGGGTGTTGCTGGTGCTACTCACCTTCCAGGATGGGGACAGTGTGATCCCCATTCCGTCCGGTTGGAGAAACTAGGGATATGGCTGCCAACCGATGTCAGTGGCGTTCTTGTTGTCAGCTTCTGCCCAGATTTCCTGAATAAGTGTGTGAAGGTGTGGGAATCTCGGACTGATTGTAGTAAGCTATCAATAAGCCCCTTCCCCATCCACTTTTATCCTTTTTTTCCATAAAAGGGCTTTCAAATAAATCATGGCTGTACGGCAGTGAAGCACCAGTGTTGGACATCGATGTCATACCGCCAATGATGATGATAATGATGATGACGATGATGATGATGATGATGATGGCGATGATGATGATGATGATGATGGCGATGATGATGATGATGATGATGGCGATGATGATGATGATGATGATGGCGATGATGATGATGATGATGATGGCGATGATGATGATGATGATGATGGCGATGATGATGATGATGATGATGGCGATGATGATGATGATGATGATGGCGATGATGATGATGATGATGATGGCGATGATGATGATGATGATGATGGCGATGATGATGATGATGATGATGGCGATGATGATGATGATGATGATGAGATAACAGCGCACTGCTCAAAACACTGAATGCTGGTATCACCAGCTCCCCAGATTTACTACAAAGTAACTTTCGGTTTCGTGCAGCTTTGTGAGATTTCAGAGATAAGCCTACGATACTGTAAAATTTCCCGGAACAATGCTGATCTGACCATCATAGCTGATGTTTCACCATAACTCCCAGAATGAAACTTGCAAATAACCTCTTCCAAATAAGAAGTGGACCATTTGCCTAGATGGATGGGGTGACTGAAAAATAGGATAGATATGTTGATTAAGAAGACCACTACTAGCTGTGACGGACATACGAAAGTCGCTGTGATTTACCTCCAAAGAAGACAGTAACTCCACTACGTTAGTGCGGTTGACTGGCCTCAGAGGCATGACCGGCCGCACACAGAATTTTATTGGGCATCCTGTACAAGTGTGCATCCGTGCACGTCCAGGGGTGCCCGTAAGATAAAAGGATTGACTGGTCACCTTTGACGTGCGAAAGGTTTGGCTACTATTCACAAGAACATCATGCTTTCATGGCTTCGTGTTCCCCTTGCCCCGTGCAGACAATGAAGATGAGGATTTCAACAATCGGGTTGTAGAGAGCATGCTATAGTTTGCCAATAATAACCGTGGATTAATGGGTGGAAAAACCGGCTTAAAAAGCCAGTGACCAACAAAAACAGAGAGCACTTGGCTGAAAGTACTACACGACTTCTGGTGCATCTTCAAGGATAGGATTTTCACTGTTAAGTGGAGTCTTGTTCTGTTTCAATCACCAGACGGGGACACACTCATTTACGGTATCTTTATAAACGTTAGCTGACTTTGTCCTGGATTGAAAACTAGCTGAAACGGCCCGGAAGTTCGCTGTTCCGAGTAGTTTCGAGAATTCCGTATAGGCAAGCGAATGTTCTGATAAGGAAGGTTACTAGGTCAAATTTGTCGTACGAGGAAACTCGATAACTGAACATTGAGGTCGAGTGGTATCAGCGATAAACAGTCCCTTTAAGCTTAATAATCCTCATGTCCTGTTTAAGGTGAATGTTTACGGGACAGCCAACTAATAAAACCTTTTGCACCTATCAGCGTAGTTTCGTTAAAAAGACCAATTGCGAAGATTCAGCGCTGAAAGTGTGCCAGTTGGGGATAGCGCCAAAACACAGCACTTTTGGAGAAGGTATGTAAAACTAGAATCACGCGCAAGTTACACTCTTCCTTTCTTAGTTGAAAGCATGTTACATTTAGGAGCTTGCTACTTGCCTTAACTTCAGGGCAACTGTGCGCTATCGCAAAAGCTTCGGAGTAGAGAGCAGCGCGACTCTGTTCACATTTTTATGTGATGAGGTGAATCGCCACCTTCACTGTTGACCTTCGGGCCTGAATCGGCACGATCGGCTGTCTTTACTTAGCTTCGCCCCCGGCCCAACGATCACGATGGCTCGGAGGAACTAAAACCATGTTTGTAGCCAACAGCCTTGGCATCGGCGGAACTCAGGTGAGTGCTCACACTTTGAACGACCAGAATGCACTGAAAAGCACCCTGGGATTGGTTTGGTCACACCAGTAGTACAGCAATCCCGATTTCTACAGATCGTGGTGAATGTGTCTACAGCTATCAGATAATTTGAAAATATTACACCAATCGAACTCAAGCACATGGAATGAAATCGACGATGGGTTTCACCTACTCTAATGCATGCTTAAAAAACAATTTAACTCTAATTTCAGCCTGCACGTGCTTGAAAGTCCCTCTTCTCCTCCGAGAGGACACTTCAGTTTACTCATGAGCAAACAAAGTGCGGGTGAACAGAGTTAACCAATCTAAAATCGCATCGACTGTTCCTCATCCGAGTCAGATTCATTGGGTTTCTGCGAAGCCGGGTGTGACGCTACATGCAGTCTCTTGAAGTCGATATCATCCTGGAGGAATAGGACTGTCGGGCCAGTTTGCAGACCATCATACGACACCCCAAAAGGGGGACGAGCATCCAGTTTTACGTAGCATCTGCGAGGATTCTTACCCAGATCGTTGGAATCGAATTTGGATGTTAAATCTTGTTTTTTTTTGAGGTTAAGTTCACTGTAATCTGCCTGCTTCCAGGAGGTCAGATGCAACGAACGGCACTGAAAAAGCCGTTTTTTATGCATTTGTTGTGGTCTGCCAATGAATTCTTTCAAAAGACGAGGAACTTTGATGCATTTGATTAGATCTTAGAACAGCAAGTACACAAATAAAAAATAACAACACTTTTTAAAAAAGGAAGGTCACTTGGAATGTTGATGTCCCATGCACATGTCTAATCTCAGTTGCATGGATGCCTCGATGAGCTTATGCTGGTCATGAAAACCCAACTCAGTCCTTTAGGACGAAACGTTTGCGCTGAGCAGAAAGGAATGCTAGATTTGAGCGGAGTGCCTTGAGTCTTGTACAATTCTCGTTCGGGGGTAGACATTGATTCGATCACCAAATCTGAAATGAGTATCCGGTGAAATGTAAAAAGATGGAGGAAAGCACGGTAGAGCTTCACTTCTATCGATACCGGTGTTCGGGGAAAATATCTGAGTCGGGACTGTGTGACACTGTCGTGAGTAGTAAAATTCGGAAGGGCATCCGTGTGCCGGAAATGTTTTTCACGACAAACATCCAGACCAACCGTTGACAAAGGCGTGTTTGAGGAGACGAAATTCTCTATCAGGCGCTCGGCACGCGTAATTGAAACTGATTTTCGTAGAGGAAACTATTCATGGACAACCCACGACCGGTTTTGCTCTTCTTTGGGCTCATCGGGTAGACGCAGTCCCTGAGTTTCCCCTCAGTCAACCTTATGTTCTACTTGAACCGAAACCGCACGAAATTTGACGAATACACCCATTTCCTCACTAGTTTGGATTTGGCAGGATGCCTGGCTGAACCCAACTGAGTCACGTGTTTATGACGCTCCGTTTCAGCTGGGGCTCTCGTCAAAATCAAATTCTTGTGCATGTGGGAGTATCTTTCAAAAAGAGTGAGTTCAGTTCACTAGATCCCCCAATGTCGAACACCATCGCAGAGGACTATCACTTCCATAAAGCGGGTCTTTTCAGCTCAGTTGGTCTCTTTGCATGATACTTCAGAAGAAATCCAGTGACGCAGCTATCGGCCAACATCTGATGAAGGTCCGGCAGGTGTGAAACTCTTCATAGAGGGTTGTTTTTGTAGGGACGAGATGAGGAAACCTGATGCAACATTCACATTGGTACCGGTAGATGTAATTATGTTACATGGGAGGTTTGGTTATGAAAATCTGCACCACATCCAGTACGAATGAGGTCGAATAGGTAGTGCATAATGCATGACATTTTTTGATCGAATTGATAATTAGAGCCAAATGACTTTAGCCCCAGTTTTTTATGACACAACCTGATTCGCAGGGAACAAAATGTTTACTAATAATCAAACCAAGCAACGCTTGTTTCCCGATTAAATTTTGGAGGAAAGGTTGTGGGCATTTATTTGAAACACCCCTCATTTTGATTCCCATATCAGAATGCCAGGCATTGGTGTGTACTCAAACAAACCAAGTAGGTCAACCTCCAATAATTTGCGGCCGCCGTGCGGGATGGTGGCCGGTTTTCTACCTTCTGTCAACAGCCTACCTGGATAGTTCTACACTTATGTCATGAAGAGACTTTCTCAGCATTAGCACACAACGAATCCTTGTTTTTGGTTCCGCAGACAAGCAACACCAATGTTCAAAGTTCACTAGATACCCTCCTGTCTACCCATCTTCATAGGACAAACAAGCCGTCTGTCCTATATAGACCTTGGTGCAGTCAGGAGCTACACATTTGAGTTAGAGAGCATATTAGAAAAATAAACAGGCCGCCAAGAAACGCAGATGAATATTAAGCGTTACTGAAAGACTCGGCAATCGCGGGACACGCACTGGACACAGGACACAAAATGGACTTAGAAAATGTTGAGGTTTTGGGGCAAGGACCACAGTCCACGTCACACAGACTGATCGCCGAGGGGGTAGAAATCGCCAAGCATCCCAGCGTTAACAGGATGGAAGGCGTGGAACTGGCTAGCGTGCGGACAACGGTCTTGGGTCACTTGGGCTGGCACGTGTTGGTGTGAGGTCATCAGAATGAAGAGTGGTCATCATCTGAATTCCGCTTGACCTCAACTCCCCTCAAACTCACAACCCCACAAAGACCAGTGGCACCTGAGGTGAATCATCAAGTAAAGCACCCTGAGGTGGAAGAGTAAGGAACGAAAAGCGATGGGAACTAATTTGGAACT